TATTATTTTTTTATTTTATTTTTTTATGTTTTGCATGGATAGAAATGTATTTGGAGTTTTTGAGAATAAAACAAGTTGTATGAATTTTATTTAAAATGGGTATGAAAGTCAAATTTTAGTTTGAGTTGTTACAAAATCAATGTGATATGATTCTCAAATTTTAGCATATTCCCATATAACTTGTCATAATATATTGATGATAATTCCGCAAATTGGTATGTATTTCTTTTGAAACATAGGATATTTGAACAAATATTTGTTAACAAAATTTGTAATTGAATTCTAGAGAATTAGTAATAAATTTAAATGACAATGTAACCGACAACAAATCTAGAAATTCAATGAAATTCAGATATACATAAAATATGTAAGGGGATTTATTGTGTAGTCCAAATTTGGGTTCTAAATTTAAAATGCAAATAAGTAATTATTCATAACTTACGCGCGAGTCAGTATTAACTTGGACGTAAATAGAATGGTCAATTATTTATAACTTAATAAATTACTCAACTAATCAATTTTTTTATTTGGATAGTTTATACAAAAGTAAATTTATTTTAATTTAAAAAACAATATAAATTATAATAGTACACTTATCATGTTCCAACGGCGATAATTTATTTTGATGGCTATATGTGCCATGACGATTCACAAGAAAGAAGGACAATATCTTTCGTATATTTGACTTAAATCTAAAGAACCCCATATTACTCATGGTCAGTTATGTCGACTGTAAATAAATATTAATTTGGTGAACACACCGCGAAAAATGTTGTATATAAGTAAGTATGGACTATGGTGATATGAGAAGAGACAACAAAATTCTAAACAAAGGATCTTGGTATTTCTTCTACATTATGTTCACTGGAAAAAGAAGAAGATGTTGGAACAAGTCACACTGATCAACATGCATATCCAAAAATTGAAAACTCCACACTGTTTAAGATGGTACAATCTTATAGATTAGAATGGACGTTTTTTCCTCAACCCCATCAACACGAGTTTGTCGTGTGATGGTTAAGAATTCCGATACTTGAAATACATCGCCCCAATCCTTAGTCCGCTTTAATGAAAACAAAACACCAAGGAAAACAGGCAAAGAGAGGACATTCTAGGAAATAATTCATAAAAAATGGCACAACAAAAGCAATAATACTCCTTAATAGACAAGGAAACTGAGGTAATTACACCAATGTGACCATAGATATATAACAAATATCATACCTGGCCTTGCTTCTCCCTGCACTTTTTAACTTTGTTGTGCTTGATTGGAAATGAGCTCTCAACATAAGGAAGAATAAAAACTTCATAATCATTAGAATACAAATGGAGATGCTTCAACTCCCTTGTGGCAATGTCAAAAGTAAGTATTTCACCCTTGGAATCCCTAACAAATAGCTTATTTCCATTGACAAGAGCCACTATCTGCTCAACATCAACATCAGCAGGCAAGACATCAGTTTCAACCGGCACTCGGGCCCACGACACGTCATCACCATCCCATTTCCAGATCTCAAACTTTGTAGGGCGCGGAAGAGTGATCAGTACAGTCGTAAACAACAACTGCCAAGGAGCCATCAAGTTCGGCAAAACAAAAATTACACGCGAGAAGCATATCAGTTGGGGGCATCGGAAACTTCCCAAACTTCCCAGCATTCACCAACGCGTTGCAACTGGCAAAAGGAAGAAAATCAGGGACGGACTTAGATATGTCATTGGGGGCTATTGTCCCCCCAAACTTTTAATTTTTTTTACTATATATATATATATATATATATATATATATATATATATATATATAGACTTTTTGCTCAAAAAAATAGATTTTTTGTCTAAGATTTACTTTTACTTACCACGTACTGTATATATTATATATATATTATAAGCATATTCAATTTATACATATACCTCATAATCATTACTAGTTATTAAGATGATCGATGTACTAAAAAAAATTAAAATGATCTATGTCCTAATATTTTTTAGCTATACCATATTTTTAGATGTAACTTTTCACTCTTTAAATATAATATTTGTGCTTTAACTAATGTACGAAATATGTGAAAAAGGTGAAAACATATAATTTTAAATGGGGATGTGAAAAAGAATTTTAAGAATTATTTGTATAGAGTCAATTGGTGACGAGTCTCGTGATTTGTCGAATACAAATTTAAATATCAAACTTCAGCAGTATGTCTATTGTGGAATATTTTATAATTTATGTTATCAAATTTAGACTACAATTTTTTGCCTTATATGCATATAAAATGTGATATTAAATATTGTATACTCCTTTTAACTAGAGGTGTTTGTTGGAGTATAATTTAATACCTCATGATCAAGCTCGTTTTTGTTTAATAAATGTGGCTTGGCTTGACTTATTAAATAAACGAAAAAAGTTATGAGTATGGGCTCGTTACATTTAAAAAATAATAATTGATTTGTTGCTTGAGTTTTCACGGGTCAGTTCGAGATATATTCACAAATAATTTGTTTCGAATAACAAGTCTCGTCCCCTCCAAAAAAAATTCTGGATCCATCCCTGAAGAAAATATTTGTGGCGGCTTTTGACGTGGAGATCACTGTGCTCCCACGAGAGGCCGTCGTCGGTTGAGAAACGGTGATAATAAATGGAATCCTCATGTTCATGCGCCATCAGAAGCCTCTGCCTCTGGGGTTGGTTGTGCCCTGTCAGATAGCTCATCAACCTCCTCGGAGTGTATGTTTCTCGAGGATAAAGCAGCGGATTTGACGAGAATTTGGCTATGGAATTTAAATTTGCAGAGATTATCCTCGTGGATCGCAAGAGGATTCCCATGTTTTGGGTATGGAAGGAAGAATAACAAGCGCTTGTGCGCGTCTGCAGAGAAGTAGCCGCCAGGCCCGCCACCGCAATTTAGGTTAGTGGGCAGGGGCATTTTAATCAACCCTTAACTCAAGGTTCCATGCAAAAATTGTAGGGTTCGGAGAATTTCGAACCGAAAAATAACCGTTGACCGTTTGACTTTCTCCGAACTAAATCGAACCAAAAAAATAATTGGTACGGTTCTGAATATTTCACAAATATCCGTACCGAGAGCCAAACCGAACTGTCTCATACCGTACCGAACTGAATAACCAAAATTAAGAAATGAATTATAACATTATATGTGTTATTAATATATTTTATGTCAACTTTAAACCTGTTTAATATAGTAATAACTATTAATCTTCACTTAAATTTCATGCTTACTAATACTTAATCTGCAATTGAATTTTTTCTATTATAAAATTTATAGTTACTTCTAAAGTTGATTTCAAAATAAAATCTTTAATATGAGGAAGTACTGATGAATGTTGGTTTTATTAAAGCATATAAAAATTAAATAACTTAAATTTAGAGTTATTTCTAAAATTGATTTCAAAATTAAATCGATGAATTATTGATGAATTTGTTTTTTTTTTAAAAAAAAACATATAAAAATTAAAATATAACTAGGTAATCGTTCAAAAAAAATTAAAAAAAAAATCATCAAAAATCCAAATCAAATCATATCGAACCGAACTGTCCTAATAGTCCCGAATACCGAACCGAAAAATAAAAATCTTCGAACTGAACTGAACCGACTTTTCGATACGATTCCAGAGATCAAATATTGGGATCTCCGAATTTTGATACGATTTTGGAGATTTATCAATCTGCGAATTGTACCGACCCACGCTCACCCCTAAAAACATTGTAGAGGAAATATATGACTTATATTACAATTTTACATTATTATATTCTTATTTATAATATTACTAAAGTAGTGGACTCTAGTTCAACTTACAATGTCATTTTAGGATGCCCCCCAACTTAAACACATTCCAGGCTGTAGACTTGTAGTATCAACACTGTATAAAGATAAATTCCCTCACTACAAGAAAGCACTTCAATTCCAACGGCAAAATTTTACGTTGGAAATTCCAACGAATATTCCAACAAACTTAATTTTATGTTGGAATAAGTGTTGGATGGTTGAGGAACTCCAACGGATTTTTTTCGTTGGAATAGTTGTAGGAATTTATTTCCATAGGATTTTCCGTTGGATTATAGCTATTCCAACGGCCGTTTTTCCTACGAATTTTTATACGAAGGAATATCCTTTGGAATAGCTATTCCAACAGAAAATATAAAGAATTCCAACGGAAATTTTCCGTTGAAACGTAGGAGTTTTTGTAGTAGTGCCTGTTGGCAACCAGGTAGGGGAAATGATGGGAAATCACAGGCAGGCTAGGTCATGCTATGAGATTATGATTTAAAAGGCAGAAGCAAGGTGCAAGAAAAGGGAGCGTGAAACATAGCAACCTGAGAGCTCTAATGGCTGCAGAGAAAACCCTCGAGAGAAGTCTGAAAGTCTTAAGTTTCATACTTTTTTTTAAGTTTATTTAAGCCTATTTGTCAGGATTTTATATTTAAGCATGCATAGACTGAAATTCTAGATACTGAAATACTGAGATGTTTAGAGTAATGAATTATACTCGGTTGCATGCCTAATAGTTTAAAGATATTAAAGATTAAAGATTTAAGATTAAAGTTGAGTAGCATCCCGCATATTAAAGCTAAAGTATTTTCGAAAAATTAATATGAGTTTTCAAAAATTAAAACAGAGTTTCCTTTTATAGCGCGAAAAATTTACTCTGATTTTAGTAATTCTAGGCGGGGTGTTACAGTTATGTCATGTTTTTTAAGGAAAATAAAAAATTCTATAGGGAGCTACATAGCGTGCTATTTAAAACAATGGAGGAACAAGATAGAAAATTGGAGCATGAATTCAATGCTACAACTTGTAGAAAAAAGCAAAGAAAATATTGACTTTCAAGTTTCAAATTGCATGTTATGTTCTGTACCTCCACGAATTTAACCAAAAAAACAGCACGGGGCATTGTCAGTTTCTCCAACAACATGCACGACAAGAAAACGCCTTGACTCGTTCCCCACTAGAAGCGGATATCTATGCATAAATTCGACTAGTCGATTCTTAAGACAAGAGTGTTTCTTTTCCAGCAAACTCTTGAATGTTAACATCTGCCTTCATGCCCAATGTTCGTAAAGCATCGAGCAGCTGAGAAATATCACTTTGTAATGCCTCAGCAAATACCTAAGCCAATACAACAAATACGATTTTAGCACATACAGCAAGCAAAGAAATATTGAAGTTCCACACAGACCGAGGACAAATGAAATACATGTAGAGAACTAGGTATAACTAAGTTCACATTAACAGAGAAAAAAAAAAAAAAAAAAGAAGACAGAAAAATGGAAACAATTTTGACATTACAATCTTAAGATAGCTGGGATCTTGAAAAACCTCAAGAAAACTGGACTTTTGTCAGGCAAAATCCTCATTGCAGTTTTCGTGATATTCCTGCGGCTGCATATGTGATATATACATATACCTATATAAATGTGGTTTTTTTTCCTTCTAGAAACAGTTGCATTGTTTCCTTTTCTTTATTACCGCTCGGCTTGGAGTAAGTCGTGATACCTCTTCTGAATATTCCATAAATGTTGTTGTTGTTGTTGTGTTGTTATTAATAATAATAATAACTTTGACACTTGCAGTTGTACTTGTGAGAGAGAAAGCAAATTAATTCACAGACCACAATATAAACCTGGGACACTGGGAGAAATACCTGTTTGTTATCTTTCTGATGCTTTATAACATCCAAAGGCCACTCGCTCACTAGCTTTTGAAGCTCAACCACAACACTTGATTTTCTTGCATCGGGTAAAGTCTGGACATAAAAATGGTTTTCTAAATACAGCTCCGGATTATAAAGATAAATGCACTGGAGAAAGCAAGAACAAAGAAACTCGATGGAATTCTCACTTTCTTATTGTATCTATATCACACATAAATTTAATTGACATTCAGAATTTTTCGTCCAATGTTCAAGTATGTCAAGCTGATTTTCGTGGTAGAGTTATGGGCCAATGCTATTTCATATCCACCACAGACGTACCATCTATTAATAAAAAATACATTTCCTAACTTAACTCATAAACATTTCTATGTTAACATCCCACTAGACTAAGTTCAGGACACAAGGTTCAAACGAAACGTTTCTGGTTTGACCAATAAAAGAAAAGTGTCATCCGTCGAGTATAAATTCACCTGATATAGCACTTGGATAATGGCAGAAGCATCATCAGGCTTATGTTCAAGAAGGAGACCCTGGAAATATCAAGCTAGTAATTAATCCATGGTCAAAGACTCAAATTCCCTGAATTTAGATAAAATTACCAATGCACCACTAAAATTCTAGCAAAATATCGGTCATTCAATCAGAATACGAAACTTCTTCTTCCCCCAAATGAAAACAGAAGAATACTAGAGGTAGTGCACAGACCATTAAGAAGTAATCCCATGCATGGTTAAATCTAATCTGGGCAATTGATGGATGTGAACATATGAATTACCTTTGCACAAGAAAACCCAGTTGAAAGACTATGCTGTTTCATCGCCTTAGATCTCCATTTCTCAATCTTCCAAAGGGAATCAACATCTCCTACATTGGGGGATATTAATGCATTAGTATGAGCCCCTCTGTTTTTTGTTTAAGCCTATGCAAGCTCCCAGATTAGAAAATGACGCTAATGTATCAAGAAAATAATTTCAAAGTAAAAAACAAAAGACCCATGACTTAGCCAATGACAAGATAAAAGAAAACAAACAGAAGGTGTACCCTTTTTGGCAGCAAATTCCATCCATAACTCAAAGGAAGACTGCCTCAGTTTTACTCCAGACAAGACAAACCTTTTTCCATTCTTACACATCAAATCCCATTTGTCTGCATTATAACAAATGCTGCAAAAGCATAATCCAAAGAATATTTCAAGATTCAAGTGGTGAGGTGAAGTCAAATTGTGGACAGGATGTAACTATGACAAACAAACATAGTAGACAGTCAACCACTGATGCCACACTAAAAATCTTACTATTCTCTGTGGCATGAAAACTGGAAGAAAACTCATTTTCCAGCCACAAGACATGAGGGGTCATACATATGTTGTAACAGTGGTGGCTGAAATTAATATTTCAAGATTCAAGTGGTGAGGTGAAGTCAAATTGTGGAGAGGAAGGAACTATGACAAACAAACATATTAGACAGTCAACCACTGATGCCACATTAAAAATCTTACGATTCTCTGTGGCATGAAACTGAAAGAAAACTTATTTTCCAGCCACGAGATACGAGGGGTCATACATAAGTCGTAACAGTGGTGGTTGAAATTCATTTCTAAACAAGACAGCTGACTAAAGATAGGGAAAAACAAAACAAATATCGCCAGGTAGCGAAAGAGTATATGCGGACCGCCATTGAGAAAAGTCAATGTAGAAAAAAAAAATGAACAGTATTCCGATGGATGTATACCTGAAAACTATATCTGCCGTGCCAGGTTGTGGAGGTAAATCATTGATTTTAACATGTTTCATTATTTTGGTCATGAGTTTCACATCATTATGTTGCTTGGCGTGTAACTGTAGGCATGAAACAAATATTTTTTCGTTTATATTGACATGAGCAAACCACAAATGGGTATAACAAAACCTGTAGAAGACTTCCATACCAGCAGAATATGAGCCGATCCAATGTCAGGAGTTAGTCCAAATAAATTATGTTTCCACAAAGTCTTCATACCTGTTTGAAAATGAATTCAAAGGCTTTAAACTGGTGATAAGGAAAAAAAAAAAA